TAGCTGAAATATGAGCTTTCTTTTTATGAAACACTAAAGTATGAGAAGAAGTTTTATATCCTTGAAAAGTTTATCAATATTGGGATTATTTGGTAATATTGTACAGCTGATTCTGACATTCTTTGAAAGAGCACTAATGTTATTAGATAATTGGGAAATGATAATGATAATTAGTTTCAACGATGTGTAATTCAAAAATGTGGGTTAAGATACTTGATATGTTTCTAAAGTATAACAATTCATATCATGTGTGAAGCGGGAGAACCAAGAAATAATGATGTTTAGTCCCAGGTTTTCTACCTTCATGCTGTAATAACCACCAGTTTCTGGAGAAACTCATCACCTCTGTCCTGTGATTCTCAAATAACCAACAGTTTCTGGAGAAACTCTACTCCTCTGTCATGTGATGCTGAAATAACCACCAGTTTCTGGAGAGATCCCACACCTCTGTTATGTGATGCTGAAATAACCACCAGTTTCTGGAGAAACCCCACCCCTCTGTCATCCACCAGTTTCTGGAGAAACCCTACTCGTGTGTCGTGTGATGGTGAAATAACTTCCAGTTTCTGGAGAAACCTCACTCTTCTGTCGTGTGATGCTGAAATAACTACCAGCTTCTGGAGAAACCTCACTCTTCTGTCGTGTGATGCTGAAATAACCACCAGTTTCTGGAGAAACCCCACTCCTCTGTCTAGTGATGCTAAATTAACTACCAGTTTCTGGAGAAAAACCTCACACCTCTGTCTAGTGATGCTAAATTAACTACCAGTTTCTGGAGAAAAACCTCACACCTCTGTTATGTGATGCTGAAATAACCACCAGTTACCAGAGAGACCCCACTCCTCTGTTATGTGATGCTGAAATAACCACCAGTTACCAGAGAGACCCCACTCCTCTGTTATGTGATGCTGAAATAACCACCAGTTTCGGGAGAAACCCCACTCCTCTGTTATGTGATGCTGAAATAACCACCAGTTTCCGGAGAGACCCCACTCCTCTGTTATGTGATGCTGAAATAACCACCAGTTTCCGGAGAGACCCCACTCCTCTGTTATGTGATGCTGAAATAACCACCAGTTTCCGGAGAGACCCCACTCCTCTGTTATGTGATGCTGAAATAACCACCAGTTGCCGGAGAGACCCCACTCCTCTGTTATGTGATGCTGAAATAACCACCAGTTACCAGAGAACACCTGTTTATACCATGCCTTGAATGTTTTTGTGTTCTCAGAGGTTATTATATGTAGCTCATGTTCCTTATAAATTGGTTTAGGGGTATCTATATGTACATTTTATCATCCCAAAGTTACAGTCATATTCAGTTTGACTTTATAGATGGTTTTGGTGTTTTAATCTTAAAATTCTTTTTAGAACAGTATGAATAAAGCATTTGTCAATGGTGCTTTCTTTAACAATACAGACAAAAAAGGTCTTGTTGTAACACTAAACACTAAGATGTCTTGTTGTAACACTAAACACTAAGATGTCTTGTTGTAACACTAAACACTAAGATGTCTTGTTGTACCACTAAACACTAAGATGTCTTTCTGTACCACTAAACACTAAGATGTCTTGTTGTAACACTAAACACTTAGATGTCTTGTTGTAACACTAAACACTTAGATGTCTTGTTGTAACACTAAACACTTAGATGTCTTGTTGTAACACTAAACACTAAGGTATCTTGTTCTAACACTATGCTCTGAGAGGTCTTGTTCTAACACTATGCTCTAAGAGGTCTTGTTGTAACGCTATGCTCTGAGAGGTCTTGTTGTAACACTATGCTCTGAGAGGTCTTGTTCTAACACTATGCTTGTTGTAACACTATGCTCTGAGAGGTCTTGTTCTAACACTATGCTCTGAGAGGTCTTGTTCTAACACTATGCTCTGAAAGGTCTTGTTCTAACACTATGCTTGTTGTAACACTATGCTCTGAGAGGTCTTGTTCTAACACTATGCTCTAAGAGGTCTTGTTCTAACACTTTGCTCTAAGAGGTCTTGTTCTAACACTATGCTCTAAGAGGTGTTGTTCTAACACTAAACACTAAGAATTTTTTCTGTAACAATACACACTAAGATGTCTTTCTGTAACACTAAACACTAAGATGTCTTTCTGTAACACTACACACTAAGGCATCTTGTTGTAACACTAAACACTAAGATGTCTTTCTGTAACACTACACACCAAGATGTCTTACTGTAATACTACATCCTAGATGGTTTTACAGTAACACTACAAAAGAGGAAGGGTCTTGCTGTAGTACTAACCATGTAAATGTCCCCTGGGGCCAGGTAGGTGGGGCCCAATAGGGAAAATTATCAATTTCTTAAAATCTATCTTGCTCTGATATAGGAATGCCTAGATTCTGTCCCAATTTGGTGTGAGAAATGCTTTGGAAAAAGGGATCAATTTTGTATGAACAGTGGGTTTCGGTCTATTGGGACCAGAGGGCTGGGTCAAATAGTGGACATTGAGTAAATTCTTTAAAATCTTTGTCATGTTGGAACTAAAGATATTGTTTGTGAAGAAAACAGCTGCATCTAACCTCCATTTGGAGGAGGGTTGAGCATATTACGGGGAAATAGATACAAGTGTTTTAAATACTTTTGCCTTGGTTAAAATAAATCAATTTCAGCATCTAAATCCGGTAAGCGATACAGGCCCTCTGGGCCTCTTGTTATTTTAATGTTAACTTGCTTTTCAATAAAAAATTTTGGAGAGTTTTATCCCCAAGTAAACACACCACCACAAGATTTTATTGCAGCTCTCCCATAAAATCTAAGTTGAGCTGGTTTTATTGTATGTTCCCTATGGATTAATTATTGGAAGTCATTAGATATCGTTTGACTTAACATCATTCTCAAGCTTGGTTGTGATATTTGTCATCCAAGAAGTTTCCGTGCAAAAACAATCATCTGACTGATACTCTGTGCAGGGGTATTGTATGCTTCTACATCTCCAGTGACACACATAAATTGGAGACAATGCTTCGTAAATTTCTACCTCCGAGGACAATTCTCACATTTTACTTTCTACAGTTTCTCTTAAATCTGCTGTGAAGTAGCACTGGAATTTCAGCTGTGTGAATCCTCGGGGTGTGCTCAAAATGTGTATGGGAATGGGAGATGTTTGGAACTCCCTCAAAGCCTCTCTGTTCCAAGACTCCTTGGTCAATTTTCCAGAATTATTTTGTAGTCCCTTGCAGCGTTTTCAAGGTGACTTCATTTGTTTGCAAATTTTTATATCTGCTTTATGAAATTATTGTAGTGGTGACATGGTGCTGAGGTCTGTTTATACACAAACACAATTTATGGCTTAGCATTGATTCTCCCATTAAATTGCCAGTTCATACCATTATGCCAAATTTCCTCTAGATATCATATTTATGGTATGTCATCTGAGGATACCAAATCCAATGTCATCAGAGGTTTCTCTAACTAAGGTCATTTGAGGTTATCACATATCGAAGATCATCTGAGATTTTCAATAACATGCTTAGGCTTGGTATAGGACCTAGATGAGATGAAGGGACAAATTACATGATTTAGGCTTGGTATAGGATCTAGATGAGATGAAGGGACCTGTTACCTCATTTAGGCTTGTATAGGATCTAGATGAGAAGAAGGGACCAATTACATGATTTAGGCTTGTATAGGACCTAGATGAGAAGAAGGGACCAATTACATGATTTAGGCTTGGTATAGGATCTAGATGAGAAGAAGGGACCAATTACATGATTTAGGCTTGGTATAGGATCTAGATGAGATGAAGGGACCAGTTACCTGATTTAGGCTTGTATATGATCTAGATGAGAAGAAGGGACCAATTACATGATTTAGGCTTGGTATAGGATCTAGATGAGAAGAAGGGACCAATTACATGATTTAGGCTTGGTATAGGATCTAGATGAGATGAAGGGACCAGTTACCTGATTAAGGCATGGTAAAGGATCTAGATGAGAAGAAGGGACCAATCACATGCTTAGGCTTGGTATAGGATCTAGATGAGATGAAGGGACAAATTACATGATTTAGGCATGGTATAAGATCTAGGTGAGATAAAGGGACCAGTTACCTGATTTAGGCATGGTATAGGATCTAGGTGAGATGAAGGGACCAGTTACCTGATTTAGGCGTGGTATAGGATCTAGATGAGAAAAAGGGACCAATCACATGCTTAGGCTTGGTATAGGATCTAAATGAGATGAAGGGACAAATTAAATGATTTAGGCATGATATTAGATCTAGGGGAGATAAAGGGACCAATTACCTGATTTAGGCGTGGTATAGGATCTAGGTGAGATGAAGAGACCAGTTACCTGATTTAGGCTTGGTATAGGATCTAGATGAGAAGAAGGGACCACCTGCTGAGGGCAGCTAACCACAATACAATCAAAAACAATCACTGATGGTTGAGTCATCATTGTATTGACTTAGGTGTAGGTTGTGGATCATCCTTTGAAGAGGGACAATTTTCTTTAGATATAAGGCTTTTCGCTCCTCCTACTTGTTATCAATATTCTTTAGAAGTATGGGATCTAAACATTTCTTGAGAAGTACTGGATCATTTTACAAATTCATGTGAAGGTTTCCCTTTGGGGCTGTTTACGTGTATTTAGGGAGTGATCTTTAAATGGCCAACTTTGATTTTGACAATTTAAATAGTTTATCATGGTATCTTAAGTGTATTTAGGTCTGTAAGTATATACCTAAATATCCTACACGATTACCGTACCATTAGATGTCTAAGGTTGATGTTTTAGGCAATTTCATGCAGATTTCTTCTGTATTGATTTTGTGAAATTTACAGTGTTTTTGACTGAACTTCTTTGTGTTTGTATACAAAGAATGTGTTACTGTCGATGATATTCACATCAATTCCACTTGTTTTCATAGATAACTTTCAGTATTAGTTGTAATTTCTTATGATTGAAATGACGAAACTATGCGGATTGGTGGCATAGGGGAGACAACTCTTACATTTACTTTCTGTGTTATAGGGCTATTTGGAGCAAGGACTTCTGTTGGCGTCAGCTGCCCCTGACAGTCTTCAGGACTTCTTACACGTAGAAAACCTTGCCCAGGGACACCTGCTGGCAGGGGAGGGGCTGACAGAAGCCCGAGGATATGTTGCTGTGAGTGATTTTTTTTTTAAATTATATTAACCTTTTTTTAACATATTCGATTACGCGGTTGTCTCCCTTGAATCATTAACGCACCTTATCATTTAAGAGAGCAAATAAATCCTAATTTTACTGTGTTAATCATTAAGAATGCATTTCTATGCAAATTAACAAATTTTAGTTTATTTAAGTCTTGATTTGTATAATAGTAATAGTATTAATCAGCACCAGCATTTTATGACAAAATAAAAGAAAAAAATATTCTTTTTTAGTCACCCGTGAAAAAAATCTGATTTTTCTTTTATATAGGTGAGAAAACTTACAGTACGGTACTCTGGTTTCTCTTCAAACCACGCATAAATCTTTCGCCTTTTACTAAAGATTTCCGTGGAGAGGAACATTCAATGAGTCTATAGACTATTTTTTCAACCCTGTGTTAAACAGGGTAACAAAATTAAGAAAGTAAAGTGTTGAATGAGTTGAGAAGGAAGTGGTTTGTTTATACAACCACTTAAGTCAACTAGCTTAGATAGGAGATCAAAAACGAAGGGATAGGTTTGGACTGATCAGGCATATTATTTCTCAATTTCAATCATAGCCGATGCCAAAAAAGGACTATGGGATTTTCATACTGTAACCAGAAGTGTGCAACAGTCAGACATTTGAATTGTTATTTCATATAATAATTTGTGAAAATTAATTAGAATTTTCTTCGAAACAAATAACAAGTAACAAATTTACACCTATTACAGGCAGGGCAAGCTTACTTCCTGTCTGATGGCTGTCCAGTAAACACACTCCAGTTCTACCAACCCCTGGTAAGCTGTACATGCTGTCAAGGTATTTGCTGTACTATGTGTCACATAGTTGAGGCTTCTTGTCTATGTTTAGAATGAATATTTTATTAACACATTGAAGGCCTCGTCAATAACATGTGTTATCTGTTGACAGACTGAAGGCCACAGCTATAACATGTGTTATCTGTTGACACATTGAAGGCCTCGTCTATAACATGTGTTATCTGTTGGCAGATTGAGAGCCTCGTCTATAACATGTGTTATCTGTTGACACATTGAAGGCCTCGCCTATAACATGTGGTATCTGTTGACAGATTTAAGGCCTTGGTTATAACATGTGTTATCTGTTGACACATTGAAGGCCTCGTCTATAATATGTGTTATCTGTTGACACATTGAAGGCCTCCTCTATATCATGTGTTATCTGTTGACAGATTGAAGGCCTCATCTATAACATGTGTTATCTGTTGACACATTGAAGGCGTTGTCTATAACATGTGTTATCTGTTGACACATTGAAGGCGTTGTCTATAACATGTGTTATCTGTTGACACATTGAAGGCGTTGTCTATAACATGTGTTATCTGTTGACACATTGAAGGCCTCCTCTATATCATGTGTTATCTGTTGACAGATTGAAGGCCTCATCTATAACATGTGTTATCTGTTGACACATTGAAGGCGTTGTCTATAATATGTGTTATCTGTTGACACATTGAAGGCCTCCTCTATATCATGTGTTATCTGTTGACAGATTGAAGGCCTCATCTATAACATGTGTTATCTGTTGACACATTGAAGGCGTTGTCTATAACATGTGTTATCTGTTGACACATTGAAGGCCTCGTCTATAATATGTGTTATCTGTTGACACATTGAAGGCCTTGGCTATAAAATGTGTTATCTGTTGACACATTGAAGACCTCATCTATACTATGTGTTATCTGTTGACAGATTGAAGGCCTCGGCTATAACATGCCTAAGGTGGTGATTTCAGTGACAATGCTGTATTTCTTTGGTAAGTATATGTTGTAAACAAACAGAGAAGAATTCAGAGATTTTTTTAATTCCTTTTACTGTTAAGGAATCAGTAGTGATCAGGTAATCACACAATTGATACAAAATTGTTGATCAGATTGGAAGATGTTGAAATTATGATGGATACTCGCATATAAAATAAAACATTTTCATGTCTGCTTGACATTCACATGCGTTGAAGGTAGAAATAGGCATGAAATCTTAGGAACACACCTAAGGTAACATCAGCTGTTAGCTTAATTGCAGATATACTTCATATCATTACTATCAAGTATAATCAAGGTACGAGAAAGAGCCACAACTCCAGTAGCGAGGTTTCCAATAAATGCAGACATATTTCACTCCTGCTAGGTAGGCCAACATCAGGGCACAATTTTTTCATGTGTGTTACATCACTGGCATAATAAAGTTGAATAACAGTAGTGGTTATATGACAAAGACAATGGACAATATGATGATACAAAAGAGCAACAGGGGATTAGACAGGATAATTAGGACTCTTATCAACATTTGTTTTGTCATTTTCATGTATCTTGTTAAACCTAAACATAATTTGCAGGCTCCATCTTGCATCTGGTTGACTGATTGTTAATACTGATACTTCAGTTTGAATTTATTTTTTGTATAATTTTTTTTCCAATTATGTCAGACTGATTGTAATAATCATTTTATTTCAGCTTTTATAACAGAATGGGTACACTTCATCGTAGCAAGGTTCCATAATTTCCAACCAATGCTAACAAGAACAGAGGTATAGTAGTTATCATTGTGAGAATCTACTCATGTCTCAAGAGATCATCTTTAATTTGTCAAAATTTGTGCCACTACATTTGATATGGTAGATCTTGATCTTGTAAGAGTTATCTCCCTTATACCACTTCAATAGACAGTTTGTTTCAATCAAATTTTTCTATGATCTGTACCTATACATTACTTATCTAGTCCACAGATTCTTGCCTTTTCTCTCTTGTTCACTGAATATGATTCATGTTTCTTTGAAAGGATTGAGTTCCACTTTCCACTTATTTAGGTTTTAGCTTTTTCTTTGCATCTCTCTACTTCCATTTTATTATGCATTTTATTGTGTTATTTGTTGGTAATAATGATGTCATATCATATGACACTAGACACAGTTTCTTGAATTTTGACTGTTTGTATGTTTGTAGGTGTACAAGTCCTGTGTCACACACTACTACAGTGTCGCTAAGGCTCGCAAGGATCTCGGCTACAATCCAGAAAAGAAAAACGACATTCAGGAAGTTTTAGAATTCTATAAAAAAGAAGGAAGAATGAAGAAAGTGAGAAAGCAGTCAACATTTATGTACTACCTAGTTAACATTATCATAGCAGTAGTGTTTGCTTCAGTTGTCATGTCATTTCTACCAGGTGTAAAATGATTCATTAGCCTTATAAATAATTGCTTATTCGAAATTCAGAAATAGATGAAATTGTTCATATCTTGTAATATACACTAAAACTCAATATTGAGACAGAACATGAATGGTCTTAAAAGTGGGCTGGACTGTAGTAGGAAATATAACCAAGCAGCTTGCCTATTATCACTCTTTTCAGTATTTTTATAGTCATTAATTCAGTAAGTTTTATACATGACATTAAGCACACAGTAATTGTATCTAAGTAGCCAGTCTGACACCTGTTATAGCTTTGTGACTTGTGATAAGTCTGATTAGTTAAGTGATGTTCAATGTAAAACTTTGAGGTTGTAACTATATTTATTCAACAATAAGCCCATGTCTGATAACAGACCTGCCAAGTCACAAGCTTCTCGCGTGAGTCTCACGCATTTGGCCACTGTCTCACGCACTCACGCAAGCCTTAGATATCTCGCGCGAGATGAATTTATTGGTCAGAAATTTTCAAAAACCTCGTTTTCTACACTTATACCGCGGTTATATGATCCTAAGCAGTGGTGACAATGAGTCGAGCGATGTGTGGCGCACTCTGCCACCTAGTGCTACTGATTAGCCAATCACAGTGATGCTTACATGTGGCTCTGACAGTCTAACAGTTTGACTAGTTAAGTCTTTTTTTAGCACATATAAAGTTTAATAGTTAGTGAAGATATTCCCAGGAACCTCAAGCAAAATATGAGCAAATTCATCCAATCTCAAGCAAAATTTCAAGCAACCTCCAGCAAAGTTGTTATACCCCCTTGGCAGGTCTGTGATAATCTTGTTCAAAAGATAATTAGAAATCAGTGCTCTCAGCCTACCCAGTGACTTCCGGTTAGAATTTGTTTGCTGGCCTCTGGGACTTTTGTAGGATATATAAGGTTGTTGATATAGGTGTTCTTTAATTAGACATTTGACAATCATTTTTAACACTAAGATTGTTGTTATAACATCTTTATACATAGAAATTACTATCATTATTCTGTGAGATTATGTTGAGATGTAATCAAGGCTCCGTGTGCTATATATATGGAGATTATCATTTAGAATTTAAGGTACATCACTTTACTTCTGTGCCTGGTCAGGATACATGTACAATTTATATGTGTGTTAATTTTACTACCCAAAAACTATCTGAAGTTCATTTATAAATGCTTTTGTTATGTAACATATACTGAGCCGCCTATTTATCATACTTTTCTAATTCTAGTAATATCCATCAGTAAGAAAAGTACAAATGTTGTTAAACAACATGTTTTTGTCAGCTAAACCAACCCCCACAGAAAGCCTATGAAAACATTGTTAATATAATTAACTTACAAAATACATGGTATCGAGCTCTGTCTGGCCAATACATGTGCTTCTATGTATATATTTTTTCTAGTATGAAATATCTTAAGATATAGAAATAACAACAGTAATGTCTATCTCATGATCAGAAGGACAGAGGAGTTCATGCTGAAGGCTGCCAACTTTACCATTGATCATTTTAAAATGCCACCAGATAATCAGGGACATCTGTATTATACGTCCTTGTAATAATTCATTTGTCAGGAAGAGAAACTTGATGAAATTTGATTTTAGTCATTTTGAAGGTGACTAGGTGTTGTGTAAATGGTTGTGAAACCCTAATGCCCCTCTATTGGTAGGGAAAGTAAAAGTAATAATTGGGTTGAAGGCATTTACAAGCAATCAGGTGAAAAGGACAATGTTTTGTGTCAGAACATAGTGATGTTCTTGTAAAAACCTTAATGTGGAGGGTATATACATGCATATACAGTGTACATATCTTGGACGGAATGAATTAAAAGTTGTAAAAATCAATGGCCTTCATCCACCAGTAGGTGACAGCATGGTGATGAAGATTTACTTCCACATTAACATAAACAACATACAGAAGATACAATTAGTGTTCCCATATTTTATCACATCACTTTCTATGTAAAAAGTGCTGGAAAAGATAGCTGTTTAAATAAGTATGTTTACAATACAGTCAGACCTGTCTATAGAGGCCACTCAAGGGAGCAGAGAAAAGTGGTCTTTATAGACAGGTGGCCTTTATATAGAGGTTCAATGACAAGGAATTGTATTATATAGGAAACCAAAAAGTAGCCTTTATTGACAAGTTGCCTTTGTATAAAGATAGCCTGTAAGACAGGTTTAACTGTATATGGTAATTACAGTTAAATTGGTTTTACTAAAAATACAGATGTGTCAGAAAGCAGGATATTTACACAGGTTCATTAGAGAAATTCATTTTCTACTTGTAATGGCAAAACATTCTTCTTCTGTGTCTTGTTACATGTCTAGTATATTGAAAAGTCAAATTATTAAATTTTTATCATACAAAGCCATTTCTGTTACAGATTTCCTGTAACATGGATATTTTCTGTTGGAAAAAAAAATGTTTCCTGTTTCCAGTAATTAGGTCATGTTGGATTTACAACTCCTTCCTGTTCAGCACTAACTTCCGGGTGTAACTGATACACATAGTGTGCCTGATCCTGCTTGTTCAAAGTTTGATTATTAGTGAGAGAAAATTTCAAAAACAGATACAACAAAACTGTATTCTCATAATGGTTGTATTGATTTTTAGAGGCAGACCAGTCTGATTATTTGAATCAGTTTTACACTAAAAGTCATTTTGTTTAATATTGTTTACTAACTGCTGGTTAATCAAGATCAGGTTTTTAACTGTAAATCCAGACCAGATGAATTATTTTAATTTCTGCTGAATTTTTTCCCCCATTACAGTATTAAATGTTTATTTCTATTGTACAAACTACATCTTGAAATAAACCAGAATATTTCTGAATTTTCTTGTGTTAACTTTTATTTAAATTTAATTGAGCATATTTCATTTGTTTTGGATTGGACACTGCTTTTTAGGTCATCTGACCCAAATGGTCAAGATGACCTATTGCTATCATGCATCATCATCCTGTGCTGTTTGCTGTGCACCATCCATAAACTTTTCCTTTAAAACACTACTCCTGTTTAAGGCCTCAGTGGATTTCAACCAAATTCAGAGAGTTGATTTGACCCTTAGGGACCTGGGGATTGGGCCCAAAAAAGGTTATTAGTCAATACTGTGCTTCTTTAATGCTTGAAAGGATTTTATTCAAATTTTGTCTGTAACATCACTGAGGTTGGGGAATCATTTCATATATTAAGAAAGTTGATTCGACCCGTAGGGATCTGGCAGTAGGGCACCAATTGGGAAATTAGACTATATATATTTTGCTTCAAACCCTACTCTGCCTTAATGGTTAAATGGATTTTACTCAAATTTGGTTTGTAGGTATGAAATCATTTCTTTAATTCAGAAAAATGTTTCGACCATTAGGTACTTGGGGGCAGGGCCCCAAAAGGAGAAGTTAGATAATATTTTGCTAAAAATGCTTCACCGACTTCATGACCTTCACATCATATTGAGAAAAAAATTTGAGATTGATGTGAAAGAAAGAGATAATGTGTTGTGATTTTTCAACCTGATCAAAAGTTCAACATGGAAACCACAGTGGACATTTTGTAACATGATTGTGCAACTGTTTTTCGTGAACAGAACCAACCATTGATGAGTTTCTGACACTTTCAAGGAATATTCAAAATTTGAATTTATCAGATTTGGTAGACCACCTTCAGGGAATTCTGTGGTTTGTCCCACCATTTGTCGATTGTCAGATGACTGTTAAAGGACATGACCCCCTTTTTATAAGTCATGCTCTGATCAAGAACCTCTTGGAAGTTTTCTTGGTTGATTGGATTGGATGGATATTTTTGATGTTGCGTAAGTGACATAAAAACAAGAGTATACTCTTGAAGATTTGAAGCACCTGTATAATTATAGATTTATATATATATATATCTTTCACACTTACATCAAAGAATGTGTACATCAGACAGCAATTGCTTTATGTGCATTATTGCATCAAAGAAATATATGTATATAGCTACTCCAATGCAGGTACAGAAAATCCTATTATGTTTGAGAACCATAGATTTTCATAAAACATGTGGGAAAAAAATTACCTTATGCACATTATTAGAACAGCAGGAAATAATGCCACCGTGCATCATTGAAGACACCATGTCAACTTAATAGTTCCAAGCATTAAGGATGATGACTTTATTTACTTCTCACAAATGTGATTTGTAACATTATATCTAGATGTCTTACTTGTGTCTTCACATTAAAAGCATGGCTTTATAAACAGATTAAGTAAATGTCACACAAATAACAAGACTGTTTAATGTTGTAGCTGCTTTATTTACAATCAAATTATATTGATATATGCTAACCAGTTTTGCATGGAGGAGGGATTGGTCAGGGCAATGGCAAAAATTTTGTTGTTTCCTTCTTGTGGATGAAAATAGTTCTGTTCTTAGCCAATTGTTGACATCATCTATTGATGTTGTGATTCACATGACATTGACATCACCTGACACAGCCTTGTTGTTGTTATGTTCCCAGTAATAGCCTTTTTGCTACCTGTCACAGCTTATTGTTGTTATGTTCCCAGTAACAGCTTTTTTGTTACCTGTCACAGCCTTATTGTTATGTTCCCAGTAACAGCCTTTTGTTACCTGTCACAGCTTATTGTTGTTATGTTCCCAGTAACAGCCATTTTGTCACCTGTCACAGCCTTATTGTTATTATGTTCCTAGTAACAGCCTTTTTGTTACTTGTCACAACCTTATTGTTGTTATGTTCCCAGTAACAGCTCTTTTGTCACCTGTCACAGCTTATTGTTATGATCCCAGTAACAGCCTTTTTGTCACCTGTCACAGCCTTATTGTTATGATCCCAGTAACAGCATTTTTGTCACCTGTCACAGCCTTATTGTTATGATCTCAGTAACAGCATTTTTGTTACCTGTCACAACCTTTTTGTTACTTATTACAAATTATTGTTTTGTCACCAAAAAATAGTGGTGTTTTTACATCTTTTTGCTATCAGTAGCAGCCATTGCCAGTAACAACCTTGCTGATGTTCTTCACACGCCTGCTTATGTTCTTCACACACCTTGTGTGATGTTTCTGGAGATATATTTTGATAGCCACTTTAGGTCTGAAGCATTCTTAGGTACAGAGGACTCAATTTTGTATAAATGGTTTCGTCCTGCTGAGGTAGACAGAAGGGCGTGGCCCAATTGAGGTTTGCAATACACGCACTGTTGGCCTCTTGTTGCATTGTCCAAAAGCTTGCTTCTTGTTGTGAAATCAATAGCTTGCAGTGTCATTCACTGTTCAGCAAATTTCCACCGGCCAGTTAGCAACTTGGCTACATAGATGTGCATGTATCTACTACATATTGTTCCATCTAGCAATAAAAGTTGTTGTTGCCCCTGTCCAATAAAAGTCGTTCTTGTGCCTAAACAATAAGAGTTATTGTTGCACCAGACCAATAAAAGTTGTTGTTGTGCCAGACGAGTAAATGTTGTATAGCCTGACAAATAAAAGTTTTCATTTGGTCTGACAAAAAAAGTTGTGCCTAACAAGAAAAGTTGTTGTTGCGCCTGTCCAATAAAAGTTGTTGTTGCGTCTGTCCAATAAAAGTTGTTGTTGTGCCGTTCGAAGAAAAGTTGTTGTTGCGCCTGTCCAATAGAAGTTGTTGTTGCGCCTGTCCAATAAAGGTTGTTTTTGCGCCTGTCCAATAAAAGTTGTTGTTGCGCCAGACCAATAAAAGCTGTTGTTGTACCGGTCCAATAAAAGTTATTTTGCGCCAGACTAATAAAAGTTGTTGTTGTGCCGGTCCAATGAAAGATGTTGTTGCGCCTGACCAATAAAAATTGTTGCTATGCCGGTCCAAAAAAAATCGTTTTGCACCTGTCCAATAAAAGTTGTTTTTGCCCCAGTCCAAAAAAAATTGTCGTTGTGTCTGATCAGTGAAGACTGTGTTTTTGACAGATTAATGAAGACATCTGATCGATGAAGACAGTTGTACTTTTCCCTGATTGTGAAGACTGTTGTGTTCTCGTCTGATCAGTGAAGACAGATGAACTCTCACCTGGTTGAAGAAGATTAAGAAGATGTGGGTTTGTGTTGACATTGATTGTTATGGTTTACCGTGACTAAATAGTGGTTAACGGTTTCACAAGACGAATAAGTCAGACTTGCACCCGATCAATGAAATGAAAGTCGCAGTTTCACATGAAAATTGATATTTTCACCAGCCACTTAGATAAGTGGTAATAATAAGTGACCTGTTCTTCCTTAATTACACAGTAACACACTCGTCTCTCGCACACATGGTACGTTTCTTGAACATCACACTGACCTGTAATTATCCAATACACGTCCCCCTTTTTCCAGTAAATTACTGTGACAGAGATAACGACCGTTGGGGAAATAACATGTGTTAACAGAAAGTTAATCCATTTAAAGATTAATCGGGAGTCATGTGATCACCGGAGTACGCCAACAGAATGAGCTGTTTGGAACGTGACGATCACACCTATTCAAAACATCTTGCATTAGTATCGACATAACATCAGTAACGATGCCGTGTAACCTGCAGTCTCTCGTGATTGGATATCGCGTCTTTGTTTCTATTAAAGTTTCTTGGATTCTGAAAATTTTCAAACTGAAGCTGAATTGTCATTTGCTAAGGATGATATTGCACCATAGTATTTTTATATGGGACATGATATGTCAATATTGCAGAAAATGCCAGTTCAAACGATGCAGTTTTCTAAATTGGAAAGTTGTATGGCTTGAGAAGTAATATTAGAATAAAAATTAAAATGATATTAACACAAATGACTTAAACAATGTTTAGGAGCGCGGCAGATAGCCGTGGACAGTGATAATTAGTTCGTTTCTAATGGATTGAACTAGATATGTAAATATTTGAATTATCACAACACACTCATCTATCTGCCATACCTACGATATACATTTTGTATGTTTAGTTACAAGTTGTTGTATGAAATGTCTGGAAATCTTAAAATAGTGATGGAAAGCTGAAATAAAGTTCACATACACCAGACAAACGTCATAATAGTACTTTTTACCGGTGAAATACAAGAATTTACTGCGAAATTAATTATTGATATTTTTCTTTTGTGGCCAAACATAGAACAGAGACCTCTGAAATAAAACCACTTTTTTCACACTACCTCCGTCAGGCTTGCTCTTCTTTATAAGAAATGCGGTTAACACATCAATTTTGTTTTCTTGGTGATAAACTTCACATTCTACTCAATAACATTTACCTGATGTAAATTTTATGTAAAAAAAATTGTGTATCTTATTAATATTCAGGTCACTTATGAAACGTCACTCATCAAAGGACCAGAACTATTCTTAACCTACCACCATGGTATCAAAGTTTCCATGGTGATACAACTTGTTGTTGGTGATAGAGTCCAGGCATATGTGACGGTCGTCTGCTCGCAGAACATCATGACGCGAAACAATTGATTTGATGATAAGTGCCTCGCGTTCCCTCACAAATGATTTCTTCAGTCGGTCCGAATTCCTAACAAACCCAAGCAGGATGGCGAATTCAGAAATTTATCTGTCCCATGATAACACTATCCATACAGCAACATGTGTTTTGAATTGTAAATCTCATAAAGTGCTAGAACTGCTGTATGATTGGATACTAAAAATTGAAGTCTCTGGACGGAAATCAAACCATTATGTTGACGAATTTGACCAACAAGGACCCAGGAAAGTATTGCAAAGTACAGTAGCTGACAGGAAGTGATGACTATTTGTAGTGTTGTAATGTTTAACTGAGAGGGGGTCTTATGACCGAACATGTCATTTCAGTGAAATTGCACTATAAAAGTGGCCACATTCAACAAG